TTTTTTTTTAAGTACTAAAAAAGGTCTTTTAAATGAGGCTGAAGCAATTGCATGGTTATTTCGTACGGCCCCAAAGGCAGGCTCCCTGGGGAAGGCGGTGGGCAGCAGTCCCGCCTGCCGATCCTGTGGCAAGACGGGGGCTCCTTGGTGCTGAACTAAGCCAGACTGGGAGGGGGGGAGACACTGAAAACTAGCTGAACAAAACCACTTTGCATCAGGAGCAGTTCCCCGAGAGACCTGGCCACCCCTTTCGGCGCTCTCCTCTCTTTAGAGCAAACCTGCGGCAAGCTTTGGGTGGTTTATGGCTCCGTGAACCGCGATGCAGGCGGGCGCCCTGCCCCCTGTCCCAGCTCCAGGGCCCCCATTCCTGCCCTGTGCCGGCCCTGCGTGCGGCGCGGACGCAAGGCGGCTTGGGCAGTCGATATGTCTGACAACCAAGTGCTTTTTCTCTGCTTCCGCCTGCCTTAGCTGGCTCACCTGCAGATCCGGCAAGGATTGACAAGCACGTCCAGCACAATGCCGGCACAAGGGAGGAAGGCGTGGGAGCAGAGGCAGAGCTTGGCTGCAACAACCATCGCGGACACCAGCTTAAGAGAAGGAAACCCAGCTCCATCCATGAGCATCTCCTGGATCCGTTCATCAACGGAAGGTCACACGGGCTGGGACAGGGACGCCTCTGCTGCTTGCTCCAAGTGACATGGGCATCGCTCACTTTGAGAACAGAAATAACGTCACTGCTCAAAGAAGAGAGGTTTGGACGTACATCGGGTGCGCTAAATGCGAGGATACGCTAAATGCAAGGATAAGCGTGAGTGGCACACAAGACTTGCAGTACTGCTAGCCAAAATCACTTCATCACAAGAGTCTTAGCACCAAGGTTGTTTTAAAGAATCTGCAGCTGGTCAATAAATAACGGGATGTGAAGGTCTTATTAAATCTGTGCGTGTGTGGTTACGGAGAAAATCTTAAAAGCAGCAGAGCTGAAGGCCAAGGATCAAAAAGCATATAGTTCCCAAATCCATTTTTTAAATTCTCTCTTGATGTTTAAACCTTGAGAAATTGAAATGAAAGGTTTCCGGAAAGATGGAGCAATGCATATTCAAATAAATAAAAGAGGACTGACTGAGCAGAAAGCAACAATGTAATTCTTGGTTTTATGTTTTATCCTCACCTATTTGTTTGTTCTTCTACTATCATTGTATAACTTCAACAGAAAGCTTGAATACTTGAATCCAGCCATTCTTCTTGTCATCACTGAGCAATAACTATAAATGCTGACCTTGTGCAAGTCATCCTCTTCCCTAGAACATTGATTAGCTTCAATTTATGAGCGTGCTAAGAGTGCTCCCAGTACTGAACAATTTGAGGTTTTAACTTAGTGTTTTCATTTTGCTCTCGTATTTTAGCAAACACTAGAATTTTTCATGCGTCTTCCCCATCTCTTCTGGATGTAAGTCTTTCTGCCTGTTTAAAACAGCACACAGGGATTCTAAAGATAGAATAAAAAGGGAATAGTGATACAGAAGGATCTCAGGAAATCTCAGGAACAATGAGAAATCTTACCTGGATTAGCATGAGAATCGATGGGAATTAAGGTAGAACCTTAAATGTTCCCACCTCTCCAGCATCCTCTGCATTTTAACATGCAAATTTTAAATGAATTTCTGCCCCCAGGAATCAGCTGCAGAGACACCTGTATGTGAGCAATGGCTATTAAGAAGAAATGTGGTTTTAAAATGCCAGCGTAAGGGATTCAGCTCCAGTCCAACTGGGGGATGGGCCTCTCAAGAGGATTACAGGGAAATGCAGCTGGGTGAATTCTCAGCAGCTTCTGCGAAACACGCTCATGCTTTGGGCAAGGCAGCAAATAGCCTCCCCTCCCTGTTGTCCCCAAAACAAGATGCACAGAGCAAAAAATACTGCCACATAATGCAAACAGTAATCGAAGCAGCATTTTTTGAATATGAGCACAGAATTTCTACTGGCAGCAGCGAGCATTATACCCCCTTCACTAACATCAGACGTTGGTCCTACTGGATCTGGTTGCTACCTATGTTCCACAGATTTCTACCGCTCTCTTCGACTCCACAGAAGAGTTTAAAAATCTAAAACTCCTTCAATATTTGCAAATTTATCTATGGTGATAGCAGAGTTCTAAACCACTGGCAGGAAAAAAGTTTAACACTAATATTTGTCTTTGTTTTTAAGAAAACCTTAAGAGCAGAGGGAACATGGGGCTGTGGATCTGTGAACATCACAGAAAAGGCAAGAGAAAGGCAAATTCCTTCCGTTTCCCATTGGAGACCCCTTTGCAACAGTTATTGAATGCTAATTTCTCTTACGGCCATTTTCAGTTCAGACATCTTGTCTACCACCATCCATCTTCTGCCTCCACCCACTGTCAAGATTTCTGTTTATCTTCTGGCTAGTCAAAATGCCTGTCCGAGTCTCTATGCAAAATCAAACCCTCAGCAGAAAAAAACCGCTGCTGGGAATACGTTGGATTCTCTAGGGGCTGATAATGGAAGCAAAATGTTCCTGTTATAAGATGAGTAAATTAACAAAAATGCTCTTTTCTGCCCTGCTTTACAGCACCACTGGATTTGGTATGAGCCTTTTGCCAAAAACTACCAGACAGAGTGAAGGAAGGCTTTTTTTTTCTCTCCTCTTTCCTATATTCCTGGCTAACGCTTTCAAAACTGGAACGCTGTTGGTACAGACACATGAAAACAAGGGAGTTTTTGTGTGGAAACTTCCGCAAGGTTTAGAATTAAAAAGTCAATTGCTGCCACCATGTCACTGAAAAAGTGGCTGCATAAAACGAAGCCCAGTGGCTGCCCTGCAGAAGATGCACAGCTGTACCTGGTGTCTCAGCCCGAGCCCCAGGGAGGCAGAAATCTGGGTCCAAGCCTGTCCCATTGCCTTGGGGTATGGCTCTGCGTAGCCCCGAGAAATGTCGGACAAAATGGTTAAGGCTTCCCGGGTGACTTGCTTAGCTGCAAGCCTGGTCTCCTGCTCCCTGCAATTTCAGCTGGAAATCCTGCAAATGCCGAGCCGTGCACAAAGTGACAGACCCCCCTGGAGCCCGAACGCGGCTCTGCAAAAGAAGTGCAGCCCTTACTCTTCTTGTATTTTAAATCCCACAAAACACAAAGAAAGGATCTCTTTCTGCTATCTTTTAGATGTTAGCAACCAAGAAGTAAATTGGCCACATTGGTCTATTATCCACTTACCACCGCAGAGAAATACCTGTCTGAAAAGTTGTCGCGGCTAACGCTCAGCTGCGTGGATCATTAATAGCACTTCTCAGCTCGCCACCAGCAGGTTTGAAGATAAGGACTGAAAAAAACATTCATGCGGTCTCCCATCAGCTCTCCTCACGCAGGTGGGCTATTTAGGCAGCTTAACAAAAGACTGATCATGCTGTTCAGTAGCACCGTATGAGGGACACAGGCAAAAGCTCTTTCTCCTCTAACTACAGAGAGATTCAGACGACACAAACTAGCCTCCTGCTCTGAATTTGATGGAAGGTGTTTGATAGTAAATGGTCTGAAGAGGGGATTATAGACCAAGATTGACCTCTGAGTCATGCCCTTGTGCATTCACACACATACACCCCTAAACCCAAGCACATAAAAAACATTCGCTGCTGGAATAACAAGGGGCACAAGAAGGCTCTTTAGTAAAAGATGCTCTGCAGCCCTTCGCTGTCCTTAGGTGTTCCTTTATTTATTTAACCCCAGTCTTTGCAGTATCTACATAGGAGGCTGAGCCTCCGACAGCTATATTTCACTCAGAGAGAGGAACAGTAGCAGGTGGGAGGAACAGGTAGATTCAGCCTTTCTCTAAAATATCTGATTATTCTGAGCGTGCAAAAATATGCCTGCTTTTTCAAGGAGAGGTTGGTGATTTTAGTGAAAAGATTCTAGTATAAAATTTGAAAACATGTTGCTAGGTTTTTTTTTAGAGGAGACTTCAGTTGATAGGAATTAAGTGGTGATGTCTCAT